CACAGATCTAACAAAACCAGAGAGCATTCAACTTCAACTGGCTGAAAGAACAAATTTGATCTTAATTACTGAGAGGCTCTTACAAGTTGTGAGGAAGTCACTGCTTAAGAAGAATCAGCTTCCTAACTTCTTGATAAATTAGTTTCTCAAGACTAACCTTTTGGATGCCAAAGAAATACATCACATGCATGGCAGTGAGGAAAATGTCAGTGTTCAAGGGGGTAAGGTAAATGGCTAAGTAATCACTAAAATGACACCTATGCATGCTTAACGATATGCTAAGTCTGAAAAATAAAGATTAAATTTAAATGTAGAACTAAAAGTAGCACTGCCACACACTGGCAAAAGTGTTTACAACCACTATGTTCATCTTTCCTCACTTTAATGAATTCAGAGTTTCAGCATTCTCCTTTAAGCATCATGTACTTTTTGGAGGTATTCCTGTAGAAACAGGAACTGATTCTGGTAAGAGCCAATACCTCCACTTCTGCCCAATGAATTCAGAGGGAAACCACCACCCACACGTAGGGATAAGACTGTGGTTCTGGGCTGGTGGAGTGGTTCAAGTGGCAGAGTGCTTGCCTAGCAAGTGCAAGGCCAAGTTCAACTCCCAGAAACACCAAAAAAAAAAAAAAAAAAAAAAAAGACTGGCCCTAACATGATGACAGGTGATACAGCCAGCACAGCAATCCTGGCTTCTGGATCAATCTGGATGGGAGAGGAGGTCAAGCCAAGAGCCCTGTTCACCACATAAAGGCCTGCACCAAGAGGAAACAGCCAAACCCCAAAGTGTAACAAGTAAGGTTCAAAATCCCCAGAAGCTTAACAGTTTGATTGTGGATTCTACTCCCACTATGTATCAGCAAAACTGGTTACACAAATCCAGAGGAGTGATACCTGAATTACCGAGAGTATTTTACTTCCATTTTATAAAATTGGTATTTTGATTAAATGTGTACACTGTAATGAATTTCATATAAAGAAACTAATAATGTCAACTGAATACTTCATCATGAGTTTAGCAACCCACCTCCTCATAAAAATAAAAATCTTCCATTCTTTTTACATGGCAAATTAGATAAATTTGCTGCTTCCTTGCTTTTTAATTGCCCTTCATCTGAAAGGGTTCTCCCTGTAACAATGCTTCTTCCTGACACTTACTGTTACTGACATCGCACTATCTTTTGGATTTTTCAGGAAAAAGATATGAAAGCTGCTTCTTTAGCAAGGGGAATTTTCATTTTCCGTATTAATATTTCATTACAATCAAATAGTTTCATGAAGTTTTGATCCTAAGGCTGGAAGAACAAAAACACCCTTTAAAAATGCCTCTCTAGAGACACAGCCCAGAAAAAGCTGTCTTATTAAATTACAAGTTGTCTGTGTTTCCCTCCTCCCCACAAAGTGTCAATCAAGCCTAATGACTTCAAGCTTACAGAATTATTAAGCAGAATTAATAATATGTATGTTATTGATAAACTCAAATTTACATGAGTTTCAAGCTCCCTTGATGTCCATCACTTTGGGCTACTGTAACAAAGCACAGTGTTTATTTCTCACAGTTCGGGAGGCTGAAGTTCAAGATCAGGGTGTCAGTATGTGGGGTTCTGGTGAGGGTCCTCTTCTAGGTTTTCAGCCTAACATCTTCTAATATCCTCACATGGTGGACAGCAAGCGCTCTTTGGGACCCCTTGTTATAAGGGCACATTCACACGGGCTCAACCCTCAAGGTATAAATCACCTCCTATAAACCCCACCTCCAAATCCCGTCACACTGGGATTAGGATTTTAACATATGGATTTTATTGGGGACACAAACATTTACTCTTACCTGTAATCCCAGCTATTTGGGAGGTAGAGATAAGGAGGATCATGGTTCAAGACCTGCTCATGAAAAAAGTTAGCAAGGCCTTATTGCAACCAATAAGCCAAGCATGGTGGTGAGTGCCTATGAAGCATAAGTAGGAGGACGGCAGTCCAAGGCTGGCCCTGGGCAAAAATCGTAAGACTGTACCCAAAAAATAACTTAAGGAAAAAAAGGGCTGGGGAAATGGCACAAGTGGTTGAGGGCCTGCCTAGCAAGCTCAAGGCACTGAGTTCAAACTCCAATATTGCAAAAAGAAAAAAGGACAAGGGTAGGTTTACACCATAGGCCTAGAACACTGAGGCACTGCTGAGGGACTACAAAGGGCCTAGAGTGACCCACAGTTGAATAAATACCTTGTTTAGCACATAAAACTTTTCCCAATGACATACAGATACTGTCTGATTAATACAGATCAAAGTAATGTAAAGTGTCAGTAACATGAAGGAGGTTTTTGGATTTTCTTATTCAAAAGACACTGGGGTTTTTTTTTGTTTTGTTTTTTTTGACATTTAAAGGAGGGTCCCCTTTAGTCAAAAGTGTTTGCGAACCATTGCTCTGGACCTTAGGTAATCTCTAAATGTCCTTTGTGGGGATTAATGTATAATCTATCAAGATAGCCTTCAAACTGGGGGCCAGTGGCTCACTCCTGTAATCCTAGCTACTCAGGAGGCAGAAAGCAACAGGATTTTGGTTCGAAGCCAGCTTAGGGAAATAGTTCCTTGAGACCTTGTCTCGAAAAACTCTTCACAAAATTAGGATTGGTGGAGTGGCTCAAGGTGAAGACCCTGAGTTCAAGCCTCATTACTGCAAAAAAAAAAAAAAAAGATAGCTTTCCAGGTACAGCATCTCAGTCACCATTAACATAGGTGAAGAAAGAGATATGCCCACCCAATTCCAGACAGTATCACCTTATTTTTAAATTAATTTTTAAAATATTAAAACAGAAACCAAAAAAAAATTTGCATTTTAGTCAATCATGACCAGACATTTCTATGACATTCCAGCCAATCCAAAATTTACTTCCCTGTAGCTCAAAAAGTCTTGGAAAAAATCAGGAAGGAGTGCAGTGTACATATAGTCACTGTTATTTAGACTTACATGTATTATGATGGTAGAAATACTAAATGCTTTTAAAAGACCATTTAATACCTTCTTCAAGTTTTATGATACATCAAACTACAAGCTTATGTTCATGAAAGAAAATAGTCTACATTAGAACATAGCTACAAATAAAATGAATAATGGGTAAGGGAGGGCAAAGAGCTTTGAAAACCTACAGGATCATATGGATGATAAAAAGTAATGCAGAAACTTAGCAGCTATTCAATAAAAAATAATCAGTAAAGCTGGACAAATGCCTGTGTGGGTTTAATTCCTTCTGGAAAGTGACTCTGAAAGATATTCCCTCCAACCTGGACAAAAGGCAATGTCTCTTGAATAAAACCAGGTACTTTGGAGGCTACAGAGCACTGGTAAAGGGCAGGGAGTGGGGTGGGGGGAAGTATAGAGCAGTGTAGGGCAAAGTCTTCGGTTTCTAGGTCGCTGTTATAAATCTGTCCGGGGTCCCAAAGGGACAGCTATTCATACCTCCACCCTGGTCCATCCACTGGTATCTTTTGCAACCAACTGGAGAAAGACAGATTGACATCTCTTAAGAAGTCCTCCACACGGGAGCTCAGCACAAAGACTAATGTAGTAATCATGCGTTCCAATGTGGATCTTTAACATATCGACCCTTGTGCTTTCACTGTTTTTATATGGGACATTGAACTATACGCTGAAAAATTATTTTTGCATAGACCTCAAACAAGTAATCATTTCTCGTCTTTCTTCCTATCAAAAGCTTATAGAATCAAAACCAGCATGACAAAGTTTCTAAAATATAGTATCACTTAACTCTAAAGCCGAGGCTGAGAAGACAGTTTTATGTTCTCCCCATTCTGATCCTGCTCTTCCTACTGTGACCAGGGTGAAGTTAAATTGACTATCCATTAAATCCCCTTAAAACTGAACTATTTTTTATGCCCCGAAAATCCTGAGCACTTTTTAGCTGTCCCTACCCTCATTCCTCAATTCCTTCTCTACTTCAGGCACCTTTCTTCTTTTTCATTCAAACATGGAGGATTTGCCCCTAAGCAGTTTGAAATTTATGGGGGTTATTTAATATAATTAAGGTCCAAGAATATTAGTGAAAATACATAAACTAGATTAAATGTACATTTGGTATTCTTCATGAGGAAAACCTACCCAGGGAAGAGTCAACAAAGAAGAAATGTCTTACATCTTGCCTTGAACTTGGTTTCAGTAGCCTTCATCTACTTTATTTCCAGCAGAGCCGAGTCTGTTCATTTCCAGACATAAACACAAGGCCTAACACTATGAAATACCAGCAACCAATATATGCAACCCGATTTGCCTCTTTTATGGCATTAGTTGAATATTCTCTAAGGAATAAAAGGACAAGTGAAGCTGTGACTTGTCCCTCCCAAGTAATCTACGAGGGAACTCTTCCTGGGGCTGAGATAGACAACAATTTCTAAGCATCCATCCCTAATTTCAAGGTGAATGTCCAGAGAGCCAAGCCAAAGGTCTTCACTCCCACACGTGTGGCTTTCAGTCTAAGCACAGTGCACGGTGGACTAAAGAGGCCCCTGCGACAGGAAGAGGAAACATCATCCATTTCCTGCCGTCCAGCTCAGTCTGGTTCCTGCTGCCCGGAGATGAGCTGGAACCAGACATCCTCATCAAGTGGAATGCAGCCTACATCTCTTCAAAGCAAAGCCCCAGGCAATTTGGTGAGTTCACCAGGCTTCCCAGCAGCAAACAACCAACCTGAAGAGCGGCCACACCTGCCCTCCAGCTGTCTCTGCAAGGGGCTGTAGGCTGCCAGTGAAGCACACCAGGCCCACACAGGAAACAGGGCCTGAGACCTCAGGGCAGCCATATGACCATGTTTCCATGGGTGGCTCTGTTTGGAACTTGGGGATGGGGACTGGAAATTGGGATAGTTTAAGTTTGTTTGCTTTGAGCTACTGATGACCAAAAAAGGAAGACAACACCTTCTGGCTGCCTTTTTAAACTAGTGCCCACCTGGCTCTATCATTAGGCAGTATGAAATATGAACATGCCTTACCGTAAGGGTATTTGGTATCCAGCTTGTTCTCCGCTGTCCTCCTCCAAGGCAACAGGTCATCACTACACCCATTGGGCATCCCATTGTACCCAATCCCAACAATCTTGTTTTCAGCATTCACGATGCAGGCTCCAACCTACAGGGAAACAGCCAAAGGCTGGGTGGGTGACTCCCAATGGCTGGTTTACTACTGCAGAGGCACTGGAGGGAAAACCTAAGTGTGTAGGAACGCAGCACAAATGGTGGCTGATTTACTCTGCATTTTTAAGTTGTTAGGTACTCCCTTTTCATTCTACTCATTTGAGGGCATCTCTCCATGAACATCCAAACTTTCTCCTGTGAAACTCACTTACCTGGGAATTTGGATCTTTGCTCCTCTGTGCCGATAAGAAGGCCACTGCCATGAAATACTCAGGCCACTCCAAATAGTCATCCCTTTTTTTGCAGGAAACTTCACTCATGTTGGGTCTAGAAGAGAAACACCACAAAATGTTGAGAAAAACATTTGGGTCAATCTGCTCTCCAATTCAATCCAACCACACTAAACTCTGGATCACTTAACACAGGCAACTTCAGCTACCTTTATCAATCAGTCATAGATAGTCTCTAGCTTTAAGAGAAGCAGGAAGAAATTCACTATTTCAGAAGTGTAGATTTGGCACCTATAGCTTCACATTCCCAAACATCATAACTTTACTATGGATGTGTTTCTAAGTTAATATATATGGCTAGCTATAGTGTTCTTTCCTTCGCCTCTTTATGAATCAGGAAAGAGGGAGGATAGAGAAGAGATTATTTGTTGATGCTGATACTTTAATTTTACACATCATCTCACTCAAGTCTCACTCCTAGCTAAGCTAGGCGGTAACATCCCATCTTACACTCAGACAACCTGGGGAATTTGTCCTCAACCACACACTAGTATCCATGCCCATTGGATTCCAAAGAAAACATGTGAAGCTGTCCCAATTCTTGTTATTAACCAGGTAATTTGTCCTTCCTCTTTCCCCTTAGTTTTTCCAGATGGAACAGAAGTTATCAAGTCTGAAGACTGAATCAAATGAAAAACTACAAAAAGGGCTATTACCAAAGCCAGGTTCTGTAACAGGGGCTTTAATCAGGGCAAGTGCAGGCCTATACAACAGGGAGAGCCCAGGCACCGGACCTATAACTTCAGCTGAGATGATCCTTTCAAAAGGAACGAAACTAGGGCAAGGAAAAGAGGACAATACAACATCACTCAATTTCTCTGATCCCTCAGAAATCTTAAGAAAGTCTGGTTGTCAGGCCTAAATGATGGTCAGACTTTCCCAAAACTTCTTTTAAGTTTACGCTGCTTGTGCCGTCCAGAATTCCTAAGACTAGGATGCAGTGAACAAGGAACCATGACACCCAAATACTGAGGAGCCTGCAATCCCTATTAAACGGGAAAACAAGCACTGGACTGGACTGGTTTCTCACCTGGTTGAAAGACTACGTCCATTGGGGCTATAGGGTGCCAGTAAGTTACAGGAGGGAGAGAGGAGGGCAAGGAAAACACTGCTGCACCGGCAAGGACTCACAGGAGCCCAACTACAGAAACAGGAGGAAACTGAGGCTCGGATGCAACTAATCCAGAAAGCTACGGCTGGACCGGCGACAACAAAAGCCCCGCCCCTCGCAAGCCCCTCAACTCTCCGCATTCCCTCCAACACGTGGGCCTGGGAGGAACAGCAGCGTTCCAACTCCCAGAACCACCCCCCTCCACCACCACCACGAGGGAGAAGGCGAGGAGGGGCCGCGACGCGCGCCATGAATTCCACCCTGGCGCGCCTGCGAGCGAGCCAAGCCGCCGCCGCGCGTCTGCCCACGTGCGTGTGCCCACGTGCGGGTTGTCCCCAGGGCCACCGCCCACCGGCTCCCTCCCACCCCCCAGCTCCCCGCCACGTGGCGCGCGGCCGCGTACCCGCCCGGCCGCCCCCGTCCACCCTCGGGTGCGGGTCCGCGGGCCTGCAGGCCGGTGCTCATCCCCGCCGCCGCCGCCGCCGCGCGCGCCCAGGGAAAGGAAGTCGGGAGAGGGGCGGGGCCGCAGCGTGGCCGGAAGGCGGCGCACGCTCGGGGAGGGGGAGGGGGAGGGGACGTCGGACCGGCCCGCGGGGGTGCAGGGCGAGGGGTGGGGACTCGGCCCGCACAACCCGCCGTCTGCCTAGAGAGAGCGAGGGCCGGGGCACGGCGCTAACGACCGGTCCCGGGGGTGGCCTGGTCCCTTTGGTGTAGTGCACGGTTTGGGGGTTGCTTCTCCACCCCTGCCCCCAACACACACCCCGCCCGACTTTTTGCACTGGGGGCGGTGACTGCGCCCTGAAGTCGCTCGGCTACTCGGCTGCTTCGTGGCCCCCGGGTGGGCGCCACTCCCAGGGCTCCGCCTGCCTGCGGACTGGGTCGTTTTTGTTGGTATGGGGTGAGGGTTTAGTTTTTCTTATCTGGGTCAACTTCTTTAAATCTGTATCATAACGCGACTAAAAGACGATCCAAAGAATCCAGTGCTGTGAAACAGAAAGCGTTTTGGCTTCCGGAATGAGGCTGCTGTGCAGCAGTGACCTCATGGGGACATGGTCCAGTGGTGGCTTCTTAATAGAGGAGTTGGTTTGGGGGCAGTGAAGTGTGTGGGACGGGGGCGGTGTTCCTAGAGGCACGGGTACCTCGAAGCTGCATTTGCATTTGTGTTTTGCCTCACAGGCTTAACAGTTTGTACTCAAACTGTGTGAAAGGGCCTGAGGTGTTTGCTAAAGTCACCCCCTCTCTACTCCATCACCATGCATCCACACCCCTCTTGTTATTCCCCTGGAAAAGTTTGCCCACTAAATGGTACACGTTATGTTAACAAATTTTTTTTAATCAGAAAAACAGGACATGGAACAATAGGAAAGACCATCAGTGATATTTCTGAGGTCATATGCCCCAAGGAACCAAGTCTGATTTTCTTGCACTTCGTTACTGAATTCAGACGTGGAATATTGGTTCCAGCACAGAGAATGACAAAAGAAACCCTTTCTGTTTTACACATGGGACATGCAGTGCAGATACTGCCAGCACTCCATAAATAATAGCTACTGTAAGAATCATGAGTTTTGATCTGCACATTCCAGATCTGAACTGCTAATCCAAACAAAAGCTTCTTAACTGTATTAATTTAGCCTAACGGAGGAAGAATGATGACAATAAACAGTTGGTTCTATCTAATTTCTCACCACAGCAGGCACATTATTCTTCATCTACAGGTCCAGCCTGTAGATTTCATAATTAAATTATGTACTGCTCTGGGTGAACGCCGGAAAAGCGAAGGGGAAAATACTTCATTGTTAGCTAACAGATTTATTTTTTTGCCTTGATAAAAGTTCAGACTTGAAAGAGCTACATAGATTAAGATGATGGTTTTTAATGTCAAGTCGACTTTATTTGACTGTCCTGTGGCCATATATTCTGTCCTGAGCCCCTTGTCCTACTCCCTCCACCCCGCCCCCAAACCACTGCTTGGTCTTTGTCACACTCATCTATAGTCTTTGGGTCTCTTAGATCCATTTCTCTTGCTAGTATCCTACAACCAATACATCACTAATTGCTGCTGGTCCTTCAACCACAACATCATTAAGCTTGCTTCCTTCCCCTGCCCTGTAAAGACTGTCATACATAATTTAGTTACTTCTCATTCTCCATTTTGGTCAACTCACACACTCCCCTCTGCAATAAATTCAAGATCCTGCTTGCTGCAAACACATTACCTTGAATGTTCTTGCATTTTTCTGAAAGGCCCTCACCTTAAAGATGGCATCATTCCTAACACAGGAAACCCTCCTGATTCATTGTTTCACAACTGGAGGTTCCAAATATTCTTCACTAACAGCGAAACCAGGGAGCCAAGTGGGAAAAATACATTCCTTGGTATGTCTTGCTCATTAACACCTTGTAACTCCAAGTGTGACTGTAGGTGTTAAATCTCTCTTGCTAATACCTTATATTTTGGTTTATAATTAAGAATCTTTCTTCACCTACCGCAGCTACAGAGGTTTGCTATGTTCAGCCATATCTAGATTTCCTCTCCCTGAGCAAGGGAAGGGGATTTCACATAGGGGTGAACGCCATCAGTGTGTTTATAAGGACTATTGTCAACACTTTGTCTTTGCTACTCTTTCTACGTGGGGAACCCAGTTTAAAAGAATAATCATCAAGTAACATTCTTGTTGGACTTTCTTTGCAGAGGGTCTTGATGGCATTGGTGAATATCTGCCCTACCAAGATCCATCTACCGACCCTCCTACCACCTCTGCTTGCCAAGCAAAGGATGTGACTTTTAACTAGGAAAACGGAGGTGGGGGTCTAGGAAATAGCTGATCTGTGCATCAAGTGTGTCACAGGAAAAAGGACACAGGCCTTCGAATCAGGCCAGACTTTGAATCCTAACTCTACTTCTTTCACCCAAGTGACCTTCAAAATGACTTGCATTCTCGAGAGTCTCTGTAAAATCCACAACATTCATTCAATTGTTTTTTAAAATTAATTCTCTGCTATGTGCTAGTGCTGCAAATACTACAATAAACAAGATAAACCAGTTCTTGCTCCTCCCTCATAAATACAGAATAAATGAACCTCATTGCTGGCCCAGTTAACATAATAAATGCTGTTCCATAAGTCGCTGGATGGAATAGCTTTGTTTTTCAGTTGGGTGGTCATCAGGACCCAAAACTTATTTTTATAGCTTAGCACTTACGTGCCGAAATAAAGTACCAATTTTGCTGTTTTTTAAAGGAATAGTTGTTTTCTGTTTCCAAGCTACAGTCCAAACTAGAGGGAAGTGTTTAAACCTTAACTAAGTGAAAGATTGTAGTATCTACTAAACCACAAAATTCATGAAAATTCTAGAAAAAAACTGTGGTCTTGTCAGTGTATACATTTTAATATGTATGAGCTTGGAATCAGTTTTTTGTGTCCAGTGAAAGATATACATATGGCAAGTTGGTGTGACAGAATGATATTCCTAACAGAAAAAAATTAGGATCTCTAAGTAGGATTTTAGTTGAGTTGAAGCTACCAATTATGTTCGTCGTCATACATCTTCAAAATTATAATGAAGGTCATCGAGGAAATGTTAACTCAGGCTGTGTAAAGAGCTGGGTGCTTTCCCATTGTATATCAGTAAATATTTGTTGACTAAATAAATCAACAGAAAATAATTGCTTTGTGTGCAGTTGTTTGGAGTGTCTAAGACATAAAGAGAAGTCTTTGTAAGCTCTAGTTATACCCTTCTCTCTGCCGCTTTTTTTCTCCTTGAGTTTAATAGACCTGGAGAGATATTTGATAGGTGAGACACTGGGGCTGTTGGATCAGGGAACCAAGGACAAACATAATTGTTTTCAAGAGGAAAAGATCTGAGTTTAAGGATTTTGGTCTTCGCCTGAAAATGGCCATTTATATACCAGAACTGAAGGCAGTGGTGAAGGTTGTCTGCCTTTTTGTGATGTGTCAGTTCTCCCCCACGACTTGCTTTTCCTCTACAGAGCTGAACTTGTAGCCTCTTTCATACATAACTGGTTGAAGTTGATGGAAATTACATGTCTGATCACTTCTTAAAAGAAAGAAATACATAAAATGTAAATCTAAAAGAAATGGGCAATTTTCTTGTACCACTTTATATTTCTGTGTAAGTTACCAAGTGCCAATCATTCCTACTTTTTAAAATTCAAATTTGTCAAGCAGCATGTAAGCTTTCAATGTTGAACAAGAAAAGATAATGCTTCATGTGGAACATTCACAGTAGTTCTGTGGAAGTGCCTACCTGAAGAGAATTTATCAGATTGCTGGTTTTATAGAAATATTAATGATCTCATTAAATTATACCCTCTACTCTGCGGTCACCACGAATTTCCTGAAGGGTAATTGATGAAATATTATGGTTCTGGATCTAGAATTCTCTATTGACGTCAGAGTCACCACTCATGTTGTAGTATGTATTTTTAACTGGTATAATGGGTGAATGCCTGTGAATCATTGTAAATGAAAGCCCCTATTAAATTTTATTTGGAAGTTTTTGGCTATCATGAGCTGCTTGACATGTTTGCCTTTCCTCAGTAACTTGAGAGCTCACTGAGAGTCACTGCTTAAATGAGAAGCCAAAAGCCAAATTAATGTTTTAGAATTATGGTTCACCATGGATGTCTATATGGAGAGTGACATCTGTGAGCTTGCCATGACAACAACAGACTGTTATTAATGCCACGAAGTGAAAAGACATCTTCTACAAGCAGAAACAAATAAAATAAGGAAGGGAGCTGATCCAGTTTGAATAGCTGTTGATACTGTTCACAGTCAGAGGGTCTAAGCTCAAGGCTTTAACAGAGAAGGTAAGGGAGAACACAAGTAACAAGATCAGGTGCCATCTTGAACAACTTCTCTATTGCAGTGTTTTTAGACAACTCTAAGATGATGAGAGCTAGAAAGCTGTCAGCCATGGAGCATTTTAAATTACTGTGATCCTACTAATGCTACGTTCAAATTAGCTCTGGATTGAGTTAAATATCAACTGAAGGAAGTGGAAAGGCACTCGTGGAGTCATCTCTACGAAAACGAGAGAGATTTAATAGTTTGGTGGTTACAGTAACCACTATCCTGCAAGAAAAATCAATATCTACACAGTGTTAGAATCACACCAAGGGCTTCTGGAGCTGAGCCACTTCAGTGAAGAATAAACCCAGATTCATTAGAGTAGAAAGTCAGAATGTGGTAGGAGGTCAAACATAAATACACCCTGGGCTCCATTGTCCGGAAACCCAAGATGTTCTCCTTTCAGGATCCCAGCATTTTTTAAAAGCGTAGAAGTTGCAGGGCTGGTAGTGACCTTAGCAATCACTGAGTCCAGCCCCTTCTTTTTACAGTTGGGGAAATAGTGGTCCAGGAAGACTACTCAGCTTGCTCCAGTTCACATGGCTGATCTGGTGAGATCTGTTCCCTGCCACGCTGCTCATACCCGCTTTTAGAATCTGTGAATCAAACCACA